ATCATCAACATGTTATCTGACTGATAAGAACTTTTAGAATTATTTAAAATTGTTTAATATTTTTAAATTTTATTATTTTTAAAATTTAGAATTTATCAATTTTATCATGAATTTCATTTCATATATTAATATTTCAAATAGTACTATTATTATTTAAAGTAGAGTTTCAGACGAGTTGAGTTAACTTACGAGTCAGATAAGTTGAGTTGAGTTCAAATCAAGTTGAGTTTATGTTTTTTTGACTTGATGATTTGCGAGTTAAGCCAAATTCAAGTTGAATTAAATATTTAACTTGACTCGATTTAAACTCGACTTGATTCGAGTTGACTTGAGTTGACTTGAATGATAAAAAATCATTTTAAGAAGAACGATAAGAAATCGTTCGACTTAAATGATAAAAAAATTGTTCAAGAAGAACAATAAGAAATTGTTTGACTTGAATGATAAAAAAATTATTCAAGAAGAATGATAAAAAATCGTTTAAGAAGAATGATAAGAAATCGTTCGATTTGAACGATAAAAAATCATTCAAGAAGAATGATAAGAAATTGTTCAAGAAGAATAATAAGAAATCGTTCAAGAAGAATAATAAGAAATCGTTCAAGAAGAATGATAAGAAATCGTTCAAGAAGAACAATAAGAAATCATTCAACTTGAACAATAAAAAAATTGTTCAAGAAGAACGATTAAAAATTATTCAAGAAGAACAATTAGAAATCGTTCAACTTGAACAATAAAAAAATTATTCAAAAAGAATGATAAGAAATCGTTTAACTTGAACAATAAAAAAATCGTTCAAGAAGAATGATAAGAAATTGTTCAAGAAGAACGATAAGAAATTGTTTGACTTGAACGATAAAAAAATCGTTCAAAAAGAACAATAAGAAATTGTTTGACTTGAATGATAAAAAAATCATTTAAGAAGAATGATAAAGAAATCGTTCAAGAAGAACAATTAGAAATCGTTCACTTTTCTCCTCTTACGATCTTTTCATTTTTTTTTATTATTTTTTTTTTTAAAATCGAATCAAGTTAAAATTGAGTCGAGTCAAATTGAGTTGAGTTTAAAATTTATATAACTTGAATCAAGTCAAATTGAAAGATTTTATAAAATAAATTTGACTTAACTCAATTCGAAAAAAGAGAGTCAAATAGAGTTGATCTTTAAACTCAACTTGACTCAACTCATTTGGAACTCTAATTTAAAATGAAGTAAAATATAATATATAAATATAAATGTTATGAAATTTTAACCACATAATTATTGCATTTCTATGTTCACCTACATATTTTTTAACCAATAAAATCTCTGATTTTGAAAAATATCAAGATTACTTCAAACTAAAGATAATATTGCAACTAGTTATAACTGATGATAAATAAGCATCATAAGATTATAACTAATTATAACATTAATAAAATTGAATTGCAGCCAGTTACAACTAATGATAAATATGTATTATATAATTGCAGTATCATTTTTACTTCAGACTTAACAATGGTTTCTATTTCTTAGTATATTATATTATTTTATAATTTAACTAATAAAAATCTGATAATATATATTTTTATTAATTGATAAATTATTTAATATATAAATTTAAGATTAATTAAATTATTAAATCTAATTATATTTTAAAAATGAAATATCTATATTATTTTTAAATTATTTTATTTGAAGTTAAAAGTAATTATAACTTATTTATTAATTATATATTTAAGAAAAGGATCTAATATTGTAGAAAATTAGGATTTCAATCATATTATTTAATAATTTAGAGATATATTTTAAGACTAATTATATATTAATAAAAATATACTATTTCTAAATTTGGTATTTACATTTTAAATAAATTTTTTTATTTTTTTTTATATTATTTTAAGTATAAGATTAGCAATTCTAGTTTATTTGATAACAATTAAGCTTTTATTATAGATTATATTACAATAACTACAAGTTCAGGTCTCAGCTGAATCATTAAATTAAATTTTATTATAACTGAATATATAGGTATATAGATTAATATGTATTAGTAACTAATTGAATGATCTGTTGATTGATGTTGATTATGACTAAATATTGAATCTTACAGAACAAGTAGATACAAATAAAGCTAAAGATCAACAAAAACTAGATCTTTACTGATAGGTCTGCAATAGATATTATCTCATATCTTTTAATTTAGGAAGCTTTAAACAAATAAGAAAGTAATTAACTAGTAATTAATAGATTTGGCAATACTTTTAGAAAAACTTAAGATAACTATGATTGATAATGACTGCATTATACTACTGTAGTAATATTTAATTAAGCTGTCATTTAAGTATCAATTCCTAGGTGAATTTGATGATATAGATATAACAACTACTCACCTTTTTGAAATTTATAATAGATGATTACATTCTAAGCTTTTCTGATTGTTTGTTGAATATTTTGATACTGGATAGAAGTCATAATAATTCTAATTAGTATTGATAAATATAGAGAAAATAATTGACTAAAAGTACTTATAGCTAAAAGTGATTTCTCTATTCAAATTTGATAGTAATTCTGAAATCCAATAACTCTAAAGGCTTAACTTTTAGAAGATCATTCTAGATGGCAATTCTTAAACTAATATTATTAATGGGATTATGATTGAATCATTGAGTTTATTAAGATCTTTTAATAAATAGATCAGACATATGAAGAATTACATAACTTATTTGTGTTAATCCTTTTACCCTTAAAATCATACTGGTATATTGGATATTATATAAATAAAAAAAATATATATTATCTTAAGTATAACTTTTGATAATAATATCAAAAAAAAAAAGTTGATTGTAATCTGTTAAATAATTTATAAGTTAAGTATTTTTTTAAAAAAATAATAATCTTTAGTATAATATACCAAAAATGTTGAAATATTATCATTTTTTTCAAAAAAAAAAAAAAAAAAAAAAAAATAGTATTTTTATTTTTAGTAATATTATCATTTTAAACATATTTCTATTACATTATAAACTTAATCTATATTGAAAGCTTTGCTTTTATTAATATATAAAATAACAGATTTTTAGGCGTATTATTTGATGAAAATGAAATTGTTTTAACTTCCATTTTCTGATTTTTAAAATGAAAAACTAAAACCATTTTGCAAAATAAAAACAAAAAAAAGTAATCAAATCACTTTAAAACTAGAAGATTTAACAAAAATAATAATAAGAAAACTTTAATAATAAAAATCTCAATCTCAAATTACTTCTATAAAAAGGGCGAATGCTTTTACATAGCAGACATTGATTTGAGTGATAGTCAATTTTTAAATTAATATCATTAAAATGACTATAACTTTTTATGGATTTCTACATGATTATCTATTTTTGTTAAATCTAAACCGACACTGTGAACAGTTTCCAAGAAAACTCTTGTAGCTTCTGGATCAACTGTTGGTAAAATCCCATGGCCAAGATTAACAATATACTTTTCATGTGTACCAAAAGCTTCCAACATTGTTTTGACAGTTGAGCGGATTGCTTCATCACCACCATACAACATACAAGGATCCATATTTCCTTGTAAAGTTACTTTCCCCTTCGTGACACTTTTAGCGTATGCTGGATCAATAGTCCAATCTAATGAAATAGTATCATATCCGATATCCGATAATGATTCTAATGCATACCATGAACCTTTACAGAATATTGTCATGGGTACAGGGATTAATCCATCATCCTTGAATTTGTTTTTAACTCTATCAGCGATCTGCGAGATATAAGGTAATGAGAATGTCTTAAAATCATGGGGTGACAATTCACCTCCCCATGATTCAAATACCTGTACCATCTGTAAATTTAAAAAAAATCATTATTTTTTTTTTTAAAAAAAAATTAGGTATAAAATATAAAGCAATTCCCAATCCATACCTGAGCTCCTGCTTTAATTTGCCCAATAAGAAAATCCACTGCAACATCAGTGATAATCTGCAATAATCTCTTACTCTCCTCAGGGTACTTGAATAACCAAGTTTTAGCTTTTGAAAAATTGTTACTTCCACCTCCCTCAATCATGTAAGCCATTAAGGTCCATGGTGCTCCAATGAATCCTAATAAAGGAACCCTTCCTTCCAATGCTTGTCTAGTCATTGTAAGAGCATCAAATACGTATCCTAATTCTTTATATACATCCACGTTTTTATTTAATTTTGTATCAATATCCGCTGGTGTTTCAAGTGGCGAAGGGAAATGTGGTCCTTTGTTTGGTACCATTTCTACTATTAATCCTAATGCTTGTGGTATAACTAATATATCGGAAAAAATAATTGCTGCGTCTAATAATCCATCATACCTATTTATTGGTTGTAAGGTAATTAGTGTCGCTAATTTTGGCGTTCGACAAATTGTGAAAAAATCATGTTTTTCTCTCTCTTTACGAAACTCTAAAATAAAATTTTAATTTATTGCTTATTGTTCATTGAAGAAAGAAGTATTTTAATAAAGTAAAATTCATTTATTTTTAACCTGGTAAATATCTCCCTGCTTGTCTCATAATCCATACTGGTGCACGTTCTGTTTTCTCTCCTTGAATAATAAAAGGAAGTATATAATAAAATGGTTATTTAAAGAAATCGACTGACTTTATCATCATACCACGAGCTGCACGAAGAATTAAATCATTTTTTAACGGTGGGAATTCTATCATTTTATTAAGAAATAAAATAAGCGTTTTATCAAAAAAAAAAAAAAAAAAAAATTATATATATATATATATATATATTTATATCTATATCTTAATCTTGATTAGGTGATGATCTGTAGCAAGTTTTATTGACTGTGATAATTCAAAGACATTATAGATTCAATGCATTAAATATCATAATACAAAATGTGAAAATTTTTTTGATGTCTTCTAATAAATATATGTGAAATAATCTAAAGCACAAGCAAGTTCTTATTCTAAAAAAAAAAAAGTGGAAAGAAAAAATTCTCTGTATTATGCTTCGCGTAAATAAATATAATTAATCGACATCCATCTCGGTTTGTTCTTTCTTGGAAGCATTTTCATTTGTGGGCTGGCCCTCATTTGTTTCTTTTAACTCTTCAGTAGTGGCTCCTTCTGACTTTTGTGTTTCTTCAGATGGATTTTCCGGAGTTCCAGAAGCTGGAATATTTTCAGGTTTAGGTTCTTGTTTAGGTTCTGGTTTGGGCTTTGGTCTTGACAAAATTGGAGATGCAAAATGTACCAAATTCTACATTAAAAATAGAAAAATTAAAATTAAGTAAAGGAATAAGAAAAAAAAATCTTTAAAAAATTGAATCTTGTGAAAAAAATTTTGGATGCGTACCTCACGTTCTTTTAAAATGTCGCGAATGAACACGACAGGTGGCTCGTATTTTGGCACTTTATTTTGAGCTGTTAGCTTCTCATTTAACCATTCTGAAATTTTTGTAGCTCGTTCCACAATACTCTTTTTTTCCTCATCAGGAATATGATTATACCTTTCCTCATTACTCGTAGCACATAAAACAAATTGTTGTATACTATCGCGTAACAATTTTTCTGCTCTAGGTCGTTCATCAGATTCACGATATCGTTCCACAATAGGATTACCAAACTTTTTCAATTCATCTAATTTTTCCGAATATATCGATTTTGTCGCATCTTCTCCCTCATCATAAAGCCAATCTTCCGTAGCAGTCAAAAGATTAGTTAATTTATCCTTATCGGCTGGATTGACAAACTCTTGATATGATGACTCTATTTTAGCTCGAATATCGTATATATATTCCTCCAGCGCGTTTTTTTGAGTTTCAGTATCCGCAACAAGTTTGTCAGTCGCAACCATTTGACCTTCCATTTCCTTAAATTGTGTAATTATTGATTTGTCCAATCCACCTGTGCCTGATACAAGTGGTAAGTCAACTTTTTTAACTTGACTTTTAACTTTCCTTGTCGCCGGACTTGGTGGTCTAGGTTGCGCTTCTTCAGTTTTATCAGTTTCCATTGAATGTGGATCTTCCGGTTTTGGTGATTCTTCTTTTTCTTCTTTAATTACTTCTTCATATACCGAAGCACTTTCTACATATAGAACGCTATGTACATTAAGCCTGGCCTTCACCTTAATAATACTAAGTTCACCTGCTTCAGTTGGTGTTACACCTTTTATTGAAAATCTACCAATCCAAGGATTAATTCCAGCAGGGATTTTATCAGGTTCCGAATAATGAGCTTCAATATCAAATGGTTGCTTACGATAGAACGTTAAAATCTTTGTTGAAGGAATGCTATTATTCTTAGGGAACACAACAAGCTCAGTCCCCTCATCCGGGATTTCAGGAATAGACTCCCATTTGATTTTAATGGGGTAGTTAATAATATCCCGAACTGTAAATTCGCGAACTTTAAATACAGGTGATAAAATAGCACATTGAAGTGCACAGCCACGTGCAACCGCTTCATCTTGATTAAGTGTATAATTTAATTCCTTGCCGAAAAATTTTGATATACGCTCTTTTATAGAGGGTATACGCGTTGAACCACCTACTACTTCTATAGAATGAATATCCTCCAATTTAAGTCCGGATTCTTGTAAAGCTTGCGAAAGTGGACCTTCAATTCGATCAAGAAGGTGTTGTGATAACTCCTCAAATTCTTGTCGAGTAATGATAGCACTAACATCAATATCATTCATGATCGACTCTACATTAAGAGGAGCTTGATTATTAGCTGAAAGAACTTTCTTTAATTTTTCTATTGCTGTACGGAGACGGAAAAGTGCCTTGGGATTCGCTTTAATATCAATTTTATATTTTTCCTTGATTACTTCAGCGAAATGATCAGCCAACACTTGATCAAAATTACGTCCTCCAAAATGTCGATCATACGCGGTAGACTTGATGGTTAGTTGTCCTTTAACAAAAGACACAACTGCTACATTATAACATGAGTGTCCGATATCAACAAACACGACATTACGAGCTTGAGCCTTATCTTCCGGTAAATCCGTCTTTGTGATGCCATAGCCCAATGCAGCAGCAGTAGTGTCATTCATCAAACGTAAACAATTTAAACCGGCAACCTCTGCCGCGTCGAGAATACTTCTTCTTTGAATATCAGTAAACCAACCAGGAACAGAGATCACAACATCAGAAATCGGGATTTTAAGCTCTGCAGAAGTGATATCTTTAAGTTTAGTAAAATACATGGCGATTAATTGCGTATTAGTGAAAATGCGTTGCTCGCCAAGGTATTGAACCTATTTAAAAATGTATAGCATATTAATATACTATTGTATTAATTGAGCACTAGTGGTTAAACGCTATGATAACGCGACCTATCATGTGTAACGTCGTAACCACATACAAAATGATACGTCGGATTGCGATTATTTTTTTAAAAAATTCGATTCATACCTTAACACCAAGTTGTCCCTTTTCATCTACTAATTCTGCATTAATATATTCTTTTTCGATCTCTTGAATTTCTTTATCCTGATAAGTGCGACCGGCAAGTCGTTTTAAAGAACCTACTGTATTTTTAAAATTCGAAATTTCTTGGGTCTTTGCTGCTTCACCCAAGTATCTTTGTTTAAGACCAAAAGATACCAGAGATCTGCGGGAAAAGTTAAATCGGAACTCTTTTAACAAATATACTCATAACTATATGGTAAGATTTTAGAAGATAACTTACGGAGTAGCACGGTTCGAAACCTCATTACAAATTACGTCAATTCCTCGGTTGCGTGCTATTGCAATCTTGGAACTAAGATTTCCTAAGTCAATACCTAAACACCAGTAATATAAAGCGAGATCGTATAATAAATTTATAAAAATCAAAATTATTTTTTTGAAATTTAACCGATTAAGAAACAGAATGTTACGCACCTACGACAGACATGATATATGTATTTTATATATGTGTTCACTTATATAAAGTTACTCTTGCCGACGCAAAGGATGATAATTTCAAGGAACAGAAAAAGTAAGGTTTCTCTCGAATCAAAGAACTTTTAGTCCTTGAGAAGCTATTGAGCCAAAAGTTTCTTTTTTTAAAAATTTTTTTGGTTAAAAAGAAACGTAATACATAAATTAGGACTTTATTATTTCTGCTTTATATATAATTTTAAAATATCCAACCAATCAACATACTTGATGTACAATCATTTGAAATAAAAAAAAACCATCTTGAATAATCTAGATCTTCCAGCAGTTTCCATGGAGTTCTTTCGAAATAAATTACGAAAGACGATGTCAATAGATGCCACGTTCTTTTACTAAGATCAAAAGGCAAATAGCATGTGAATTTCATTATAGAAATTTGAACCCTATTAAAGGTTTTTTATCATTTTTTTTTGACGAGGGAGGACTTCCGTCATTACATATATTTTTATATTGAGAAGACTCGTTCTTTCGTTGAATGTTCACATTACCCACTTTCTTCTCATAACCTCCATCATTAGATTTTTCATCAATTCCAGTGGCCCACATGATATAATTGATTTGTGCCATAAATTTGGCTTTATTGTCAAGAAACATGTATTTTTCATATGGTAGCTTAGTCAATCGTTCGGCTATTTCAGGACCTGGTTCGTCAACACCATCAAATAATACACCTGGAGGTGTACCTTTGGCAAAAGTTATATAAGATGGTGCCTGTAATAAATCTTTGCCACTTCGTGAATTATTTTTACCGCCTCGATTCGGAGAACTTTTGTAAGGAAAAGAAGAAGGTTCTTTATCTTCAGAGTTGTTTTTACGAGTGCGTGGCATTTTCATTATGAGAATAAAAAATTGGAAAAAGAAATATTAAAATATATACATTTGACTTGATATCTTTTACATCAGCTTATCAGAAGTTTAATCAATAAATCACGTGTATTGTTTAACAAGATTCAACCCGTTAAATATTTATAATTTATTTATTTATTTATTTTTGTTCGAGGGCAGAATCATGTCAAAGGTAATTTATTGATCCTACGCAACTTTATTTTAATTATGAAACTTATTAATTTTAAAGGTTTCTATTAGGAATTCACAATTCTTTACTATGCGACAGCTCGTGACGCTACTAAAATGTCGTCAGAGAAAATTCCGTTACCATCTCAAAGCCCTTTTATGTCCCTAAAAGATTTAACAATGTTATTGAAAGAACGACATAAAAAACTTGCACCGATACTTGAATACTCTTTATATGCTATTAATATGGAATATGTAGAAAATGATCAAGCAATTCTAGTTAAAGAAGGTGATGAAGTTGCCGTAATTCCACCTGTTTCTGGTGGCTAATGATTTTATTTATTTATTATCTTTTTGATTTCTGTATAATAAATCCATACAAAAAAAATTGTAATATCCTTCGAATCAATATCATTTATTTCTATTATTATAAAAATAAATAATAATCGAATTTGAAAGATTTCAAGTTAAATTTTTGACAATGAAAATTTTTCTTAAAAGGCCAAATTACTGTCAAGTAATAAGTTAGTTAACATTATTGAATTTTCTGACTTCTTGAGAATATTTAAAACCGGCGGATTAAGAACTTATTAGAAAATTTGTTCATACATTTAATAATAGATAATTGTTAATTAAAAAAGATAATTAATCAAAACCTCAAAGAAATTCTTAAAAATTTTTATCCCTTTAATGGTAGAAAACTTGACTGTAATTTTTACTAATTAATTTATTATTTTGATTTTGATTTTTTTGATTTTACTTAGAATACAATATAAAAAAAAATTTTTTTTTTTTTTTTAAAAAAAAAATTTGATTTAAAATATTTATTAAGATAAAACTTTTTGTATTATTAAATATATAATTTTTTATTTTACTTTTATCATATAGTAATAAGATTATGCTAAATTTATTAGACTAATATTTTTATATTATATAATATTCTATATTAATAATTATTATTATAATATTAAATATTAATAGCTTATTTATTAAAGATGGTTTCTATAATTATTTTCAAATTTCAATCGAGTTGCAACATAATTGCATTATAAAACAATTTAATTATGCTATAAGTTGCAACTTAATTGCATTATTTTTTTTAATTACAATACCTATATTTAATTATTAATATTAAATAAAATTAATATTAATTAATAAATTATATAAAATTTATTATTAAGTTTTATAATTTTTTAAAATTTTATTATTTAATAAATACATCAAAGAGTTAATATCCATAATTTCAAAATTTTTATATTAATTTTTAATATGATTATATAAAATAATTAATCTTTTATAACAATAAACTTTATTTATAAAAAAAATAACTTTAATACCAACTAAATAGAAAAATAGTTTTAATAAATTGATTGTTTTTTTTAATATAATTTTAAGTTTATATGAAATAATATAATATAATAATAGTTTAATAGTATTATTTTTTTTTATAAATTCAATAATATTTTAAAAATAAAAATTTGTTTAGATATTAAAATATTTATTTTCTAGTTATTTATAAATTCAATATCTAAATAAATTAAAATGCTATTTTTATAACTATTATTTTTAAATAAAATATTTATTTGATAATAACTTTAGATTAAATAAAAATTAATTTTTTTAAGCAAGATTTGCATTAATTATATTAATTATATAATACTATAATATATTATTATATTTAAGAATTTATTAAATATTAATTTTAATTTTTATATATTATAAATTAAAAGATTTGTATAATAATAATTATGTAATACAGTAAAAATGAATAAATAATTAATCTTGATATTATACAAATCTAAATAAATTAATCAATAAAAGATAATAATAATATTATTAATTATGATATATATAATAAGCTTAAATTAAGAATATCAAAAAGAAAATTAAAGAAAATAAGTAGAATATAAAAATGTAATAATAATATAGTAATAATTTAAATATTATAAAATAATAAATTTAGTTATAATTTTAGAATTGTTATATAATAATTAAATAATAATTATTTATTACAATACAAATATTATAGATAGATAAGATAGTTATTATATAATTCTTTTATAATATATATCAAGCTTAGAATTTTCATTATAAATAGTTTAAGAATTTAATTATATAAAAATTAACTTTTAAAATTAGTTTTTTTATAAATCAATAAATAAAAATAAATGTATATCAGTTAAGATTACTATTAAAATTATTAGAAATAAAAGAAAAATATTTAAATTTATCTTTAAAACATTAAATATAACTAAGGAATAAAAATCTAATAAAATTATAAATGCTATTAAAAAATTAATAAAATGCTTAAAGAGAAAATAATAAAAATATAATATTATAACATAAATTAGTCAAAAGAATCAGAAATGTTAAAAAGAATAATTAAAGATTTAAAGATAATAAAAGAAAAGAGAAGAATTTAAAAAATAATTAAATTTAACTGACAAATTTTTATTTTCTTCATATAAAAAATGAATACTTTCTAAAAATTAGATTTAAGAATTAAAATTAAATTTTAAAACTTTAACAATTAATAAATAAAGAAAAAAATTATAAGTTAAAAAATTTACTATTTAAATAATAATAAAAATTAATTAGTTTATTTTATTATTATAAAAGAAACATTTTATATAATTCTAGAATTAGAAAAATAATAAAGTAGTAATTTTACTTATATTTTTTTCTAATTTAAAAAAGCATTTTATTAAATAAAAATATAAATCAAAATAATTGGTAAAATACTTAAGATAATAATATTTATAAAAATTATAAAAAAAATTTGAAAATGATAAATAATTTAAGAAAGATTAAAGATTAAATATATTTATAATTATAAAAAAAAGAAAATAAAAAGAAAATTTTCTTTTTTATCTTATTAAAATAGAAGAATAATATATTTTTATAAAAGATAAATAAATTTATTTTAAGAATAATTAAACAAGATAGAATAAACTATTTAAGAAAAAAAGAAACTTAAAAAAATTTTATAGAAAAATCTAAAATGTAAAGTAAAAAATAAAAGTATAAATTATTAGATAAGATTAGGTAATTAAAAAAAGTAAATAAAAGAAATTAACAGATCAAAAATTCTTAATAAATTAAAATTAAAGAAACTAAAAAATAATTTTGATTAAAATTAAAAAGTAATTTAAAGATCAAAATTTTTTTGATTAATTTTTATTATTTAAATTAAAATATATTCAAATAGCCTAATAAAATGATAATTTATTTTCTTTAAATAAATTTTAAAAAAATTTTGACTTTTCTTTTTATTAATGTTTATTTAATAATAATAATAAAAAATAATTATTATTATTTGCTTTATATTTCTAATTTTATTTCTTTTTTAGTTTATCATAAGTTAAAATTAATATTTATTTATTTTTTATTTTTTTTAATGAATTTTATAAGTAATTATTTTTTTATCTAGATATTTCTTAAGAATTTTACTATTATTTCTTTTAAAATATATGAAATAAATTTTCTTATTAAGCTATTAAAAATAAGTAACTAATAAATTAATATAGATCTAAAAATAAATACCTTTAAATTTATGTAATAAAATATAATAAATTTAATTTTTATTATTTTCTGTAAAATTTATTTTTATTTATTATAATAAAATTACTTTGAATCACCGCAGGTGATCAGCACCGGTGTCATGTGATTAATTGTTTATTGCATAATAAATAATATTGTAAAATGTGATCATTTTCTCATTTTCGCAGTTCTAACCATTTTCGTGTAAGTTGTAAGTATTTTTTTTCTTCTTTACCTTTGTAGGTTGTAGCATATACCGAGCTTAGATAGTCTTTAATGTGTCGATGACTATATCGGTTCTAGGCTTCAGTTTTAAACAATAGCAATTATCATATTGTATTATTGCTGCGGTTTGTAATGTCGTCATATTGAAACATACCCACCCCTTACTGTTGTTCCTGC